ATGGGCTCTGATCTGAATTCCTACCCAGATTCTTATGCCAAATTCACCTCTTCATTTCTTTTTTCAGCTTGAAGACCTGGTGCCATAAGCCTATGAAAGTAGAAGGCTGGAACCAGCCACAGGTGGTCCTCCTAGTGGTTGGGCCACCAACCCTACACACTCACACCAGCCCTGGGACAGAGGCCTCAGGATGCGCTGGGGTGCCCAGTTGTGCAGGAGCAGGGCAAGAAAACAGGGGCCTTGCTCTTGGTGGTGAGGGGCCTCACAAGGTGGCAGGGAGCAGAAGACAGGATGACCCACTTCTAAACCGGCTCCTTTCAAAGCAGCGTGGTTGTGATTGGGGGCTGCTTTAAGTGGGTCAACCTTGCATATATATGTTGGCCTTAAACTCTTCAAAACTTGGCTATTAAACATCTATATCCTGTTTTCATTAGCTTGTAAGCCACGGCCATGGGACCTGCCTAGTCTTCTGATGCAGTAAGTGTGCCCAGAGGCTAATAAACAGCAGGTGTCTCCAATAAATATATGTTAATACTCAACGTAAATACGGGCGCAAATAAATATATGAAATGAAAGGTGGGGCTGAATTCTACATGCAAGTTACACAATTTCTTAGCTGTTTTGCATTAACTGTGTGTATGGTGTGTGTTATACATACAGAAGACACGTACAGTGTACAGGGAGAGTGTTTTGTGGACAGTGTGTGTGTGGCACTTGGTAAGGAGTATGGGTGTCTGGGTGTGTGTGTGTCTGGGGGTGTGCGCACACGTGCATGTGAAGAGAAGCCTTCACCACCAGATTGGTTTGTGACAAAAGAAGCTGCATAATTTGCTGGGCCCAGTGCAAAATGAAAATGTGGAGTCTTTTGTTCAGAATTATCAGGAACTTCAAGATGGCAATAGCAGAGCATTAAGCCAAGCCTGGATCTTTCTGAACATAGGGCAAGTTGCACACCCATGAAGCAGCCATAGTTGGAGAAAGGACACACCTCCTTCAACCTTCCTGTGCTGCCTTGAAAAGCCCCTAGATCCCTCTTGGCTTTCTCCCCACTGGCCCCTCAGGATGGCGCAGAAGGCCTGGGTGGAGCTGCAGCCACCTGTGCAGACTGGGCCTCTCTGGGGGGCACCATGATCCCTAAGGTGTCTTTTGCCCTGGGCACCTTGCTAAAAAAAAGGTCTCTTTAGAAGGGCAAGTCTGCTTCAAGTCCCTGACCCCCACCCAGCATTGTGGGGCCTGGCCCTCCACCCTGAGGACTTCAAAGGCATCAGGCCCCTTCTCTGGGCCCTGCTGTATTCCCCAGAAAGTCGAAAAGAGTATGGGGTGTCCCCACTGCACACTGAGGGCATCAATTCTCAGGGGACCCATTGGGCTCTGCCCTGGGTTTGTACCAATTTGCCCAGCTCTCCTGGGGGAGAAGAAATGGCAAAGGGGAACCAGGCAGCTGAGGCAGAAGTGGGCTGGCAGAGCTCCCAGCCCAGAAATCTCAGTGAGGGGGTGTGGAGGGTGGGGACTCCCTCAGCCCTTCCTGTTTATTGTTGAGTATGGTGGTTAATGCGCAATAATTGAAGGCGCCCCACCCCAATACCTATACTTGTCAATAATTAGCTGTGATTTTCTAGGTTCTGGGAGGAGGCAGTGGCACCTGGCCTGCCCCAGTTGGCTTAGCTCATCCATGTGCCATTAGTGTAGCCATTCCAAGGTCCCTGAGTGCTTCTGTGGTATTCCAGGTATGGGCATCTTCCAAGGTTAAGGTACTTGAGAACTTACCTCTACACATGTTCCTGCTTCTAGACAAAGGTGGGCCCCTAAACTCAGGGGTGACAGTGACTATGAAACTCCTGTGTGCTTCTGTACGGGAGGCCCCACAGCTAGAAGGCTGCCCCGTGGGAGCCATCTCCCTCAACCACTGCCACTCAGGAGTATAAAGATTGTGGGGGCTCGGTGCCTGTGGCTCAAGTGGCTAGGGCGCCAGCCACATACACCTAAGGTGGCGGGTTTGAATCCAGCCCGGGCCCACCAAGCAACAATGATGGCTGCAACCAAAAAAATAGCCAGGCGTTGTGGTGGGCGCCTATGGTACCAGCTACTCGAGAGGCGGAGGCAGGAGACTCACTTGAGCCCAGGCGTTGGAGGTTGCTGTGAGCGGCAATGCCACAGCACTCTACCCAGGGGGACAGCTTGAGGCTCTGTCTCAAAAAAAAAAAAAAGATTGTGGGGAGGGTGGGACCAAGCAAGCCTTGAGCTCCTTGGTGTGAGAGGTGATTTGAGCCCAAGTACTTAACATGGATGTTTCTATAAACATGTTTATCACCTGGGGCTTTGCCTGCTCCAGAGGGCTTGGGAGTGGGGAGAGAGAGAGGTGAGGCCCTCATGCAGGAGGTGTGATGATAATAAACTGGTTCTTTGGCTCATGAAATTCTGGAATATTTAATAATCAACTTTTGCTTCACTGCCCACGAGGCCACTCCCCTCAAACAAGGCCATCAACAGCAAAGCCCCCGGACCTTGGCTGCACTTCCCTGAGTCCAGCACCCTCTTTCCCTGTCTTTGCAAAGTGACCCTATGAAGCCACTGGAGAGGTGTGGGATAAGGCAAGCCATTTTAAGCTCCTTGTGCTTCAGGACACCTCCCTCCTAGTGCTGGTCTGCTCACAGGTCATGATGATACTCACAGAGATGATGGATGCAGTGAAAGGACTTTGCCAAAGTGATCACCAAACCCAATCAAAAGAAGTCCCATGGGCCCACCTATTTCTAATCTAGGAATAATGGGGAGATGTGACAACAACACTCCCACTATGATTTGAAAAGCCAGTTTGGGGCATGTATCAGTCCTACTTTGTCCGCTGACAAGCCACTCTGCCTCTCCCTCGTTGGTCACACACTCATTCCCATTGCCAGGGGGACCATGTGTGTGAGCCTGGAAACTACTGGGTCGCAGAACATCACTCATCCCCAGAGCTGGGAGTCTGTCCACAAGAGCCCACCTGTGGAAGGGGCTTCCTGGTCTTGTGTGTCTGGGCTGTCTCTCTGGATGCAAGCTTTTCATTGTGCAATCTTCTCAGAAAGCCACTCACTTGCTCTTGATACCTTCCTACTGACTCCATTTCCCCCTCCCTGGGGCTCCTGGAATGCCACAGGGCTCCACCTTAGCCAGGCAGCTGTGGTGGGAGGTATTGACCCAACTGCCTCTCTGTTGGCTCACCGTGTCAGGTGGAAGGGGTTGGAGACGGTGGTAGGGACTAAGTCTTGCAGTATGTTTGGGGACCCTGGAGCCATCCAGAGGCAGGAATGGGGCCTGGGTATCTCTGGAATTCAGCCAGGCCCTGGGTGATGAATGGCATAGGGAGGTGGAGAGGGCCAGAAAAAACATCCCAGTGCCACAGGTGTGCCACCAAGCCTTTCTCCTTTCCTGTCCTTAACCAATCCTGTTTTGTGAGAGCACACAGCCAGGCCTGGAACCCAGCAGAAAGTACCCTCTGGATCCCGGAGCAAATTTCTATGGAAACAATCACAAATACTAGGTTTGTGAGCCCCGAACTCTGGTTTATAGCAGGAGACAGACCTCTGAGCAAGCCAGCAGAGCACACTGTGACACACATTCCCCAGAAGTGAGTGCATGTGCAAGGGACAGCTTAGCAGGGACAATGGAGAGGTGACATTTGAATGGGGTCAGAAAAGCAGATCCCTCCAGCAGCCCCTGCACAGGCCCGGGTAGGCTTTCAGCCCTCAGACTCACAGGTCCCTGTAGGCAACTGTGGGACCTCTAGGGCTGCCCTTCCCCCATGGCAGCAGAGGGTCACACAGATGGTCTCCAGCAGCCGGAGCCTTCCAGCCTCTCACTATGAACATGGCTGTTGTTTTGTCTTTCAGAAAGAAAACAAGAGTGAAATTTTCCCCTTCCTTGGAGTGGGCACGGAGGATACAACCATGTGGAGTCGAGGATGGGTTGCCCACAGTTGGAGCCATGTTCTGGATTCCAACATCTACTCTGAGAAGTTCAATATCTGTGCTGGCCCACTTCTGGCCTTAATGAGAGCCCACTGCTTTAGGCCAAGCCCTGAAAAGGGCTAACTCTGAGTTAGGGGTTATCAATGAGGGAAAATTACTGCAGCAGTTGAATTTTTCTTTCTTTCTTTCTTTTTTTTTTTTGAGACACTGTCTCACTATGTTGTCCCTCAGTAGAGAGCTGTGATGTCACAGCTCACAGCAACCTCAAACTCTTGGGCTTCAGTGATTCTCTTGCCTCAGCCTCCCAAGCAGTTGAGACTACAGGCACCCACCAAAACGCCTGGCTATTTTTTGGTTGTAGTTGTCATTGTTGTTTGGCAGGCCCGGTCTGGGTTTGAACCCATCAGCTCCAGTGTATATGACTGGTGACCTAACCACTGAGCTACAGGCACTGAGCCAAAAATTGAATTTCTGTGAAATGATTATGCACATCTGTGTATGTCTCCTTTCATTTAAATAATGATTTCTGTGCATTCTTATTTCTGGGACTCTTCTCTGTCACCCTCTGCGTAAAACCCTACAGGCTCCCTTAACGGATTTAGAATGTCTGAGAGACACTTGCCCAGTGCCTGGCACAGAGCAGGAGCTCACCAAATGTAGCTCCTTTCCTTTAACTACTCAAAGTGGTCGTCTGAGGGGTGAGGCCAACAGGGGCTTCCCAGGTCTAAAAGCTGAAGGGCCTCTGGTCTCTCCCTCCCTCCCACCCCCTTCCGTCTCTGCTGACGAGAAACACCTGAATGCCATCACAACTTCAGTGTCCCAGTCTGCTATTCTGGGGCACAGGCTGGGGAGGGTCCCGGGGAAGGCTCCGACTGAGGCTGGCCTTTTTTGGGACGTGGGCTGACCATTGTCAGTCAGTGTGGATGGATATGAGGGCGAGGCACCCATCCTGTTAGACGGCTTGCTGGCAGGAGGGCGGGGCCGAAGGGCGGAGCTTCCAGAACAAAGGAGAATGAGGAGCCCTGGGGGCCCAGCAGCAGCATCAAAAAGGCTGTGCAGAGCTAGCAGGCCACAGCAGCACCTGCATCTGTACTCAGTCAGTCCTGTTGCCTGCTCCCTTCTGCTTGCCCACTGCCGGGCAAGTAAGGAACACCCTGCTTCGTGAAACCTTGTTCTCCAGCGTGATTGCGCCCACACTGCTCTGTGGCGTTCTCTTCTTGGCGTGGGTTGCTGCTGAAGTTCCAGCAGAGAGCAGAAGGATGGCAGAGAGTGGAGCCAGGAGCCAGGAAGGCCGCCGGCAGCATGCCTTCATCCCAGAGCCTTTTGATGGAGCTAATGTCCCTCCAAGCCTCTGGCTGCACCGCTTTGAAGTCATCGATGACCTCAACCATTGGGACCATGTCACCAAGCTAAGGTTCCTGAAAGAGTCCCTTCGGGGAGATGCCCTGGAGGTCTACAGTGGGCTTACTCCCCAGAACCAGGGAGATTATGAGATAGTGAAAGAGGCCCTCCTGAAGGCCTTTGGAGTCCCCAGGACTGTCGCCAGCCACCTGCCCAAAGAGATCGTCTTTGCCAACAGCATGGGTAAGGGTTACTACCTCAAGGGGAAGATTGGCAAAGTACCTGTGAGGTTCCTAGTGGACTCTGGGGCCCAGGTCTCCGTGGTGCACCCAAGCTTGTGGGAGGATGTCACCGATGGCGATCTGGAGACCTTGAAGCCCTTTGATAGTGTGGTGAAGGTGGCCAATGGCGCTGAAATGAAGATCCTGGGTGTCTGGGATACCACAGTGTCCCTGGGCAAACTGAAGCTGAAGGCAAAATTCCTAGTGGCCAACGCAAGTGCTGAGGAGGCCATCATTGGCACCGACGTGCTCCAGGACCACAATGCTGTCCTGGACTTCGAGCACCGCACATGCACCCTGAGGGGGAAGAAGTTCCGCCTTTTGCCTGTGGGAGGGTCCCTGGAAGATGAATTTGATCTGGAGCTCATAGAGGAGGAGCCCTCTTCAGAGGAGGCACAGCAGTAGCTCTTTCATTGAGAAGCCCCCTTTCTTTAACTCCCCAATATTGGTGAGAAACCCACCATTGTTGGGGGTGCATAACTTCAGGGGAGTCCTTGGGTGTGGCCAACCCTCTAAATCAACTCTTACCCTTCCCTTTTCCTCCCTCCACAAAAGCCTTCATCTGCCCCTGGGGGAAAGGCTTCCAATGAAAAGGCACAGGTGAGGGAGGGAGAGCAGGCTGGCCTGGAGGGACAGGGTCCCCATAGTCATTGAGCTGCTGTTGATGGCAAAGACTCAAAGACTGGAAGAGCTTCTAAGGAGGCTAGAAATGTCTGTCTTCGAGAAGACTAGGGAACCCATTCAGAATCCCCTGTGGCTTAGTCACTTTCATGTCTACAATGCCTGTCTTAGCTGGGCTGGGTCCTGGTTGCAGGGTCCTCAGAAGCCAGGGCACCTGGCACATGAAGGACACAATTGCTCTGGGACACCCCCTGATGAATCTTCCCACCTGTGCAATGGTATTTTCCATCTGTCATCTGCTTTGAAACCCACTGAGCCTTGTGCCAATAATTTAATTGCTTCTAAAACAAATAAATATTGAATCACGAGAAAACCATGTAATGTGTTGATTGGGGACGAAAGGAATGTAAGAGGGTGGGAGAAACAGGGGTAAATGTTGAAGGCAGGAAGTTTCGAATGTTTACTGAGCACCTGGCTTGGAGATACAAGAGGATATATATATGGTGGCTGCATAGTTGGGGTTTTCTAAAACAGCCTCAATTTAAAATATTTGACCTCATAAATCCTCTCATTATTACAAATGTAGACATAATTCTTCTAATTATTTCCATTTACGAAATTTTAGCATCCAAATCACTTCTTATCCCTCAAAGTGACCCTAAAGTTATATGTGAGATGTCTTGATTGCAGTTGTCATAACAAACAAGAAAGTATCTACCAGGCTCATGGGTTCTCACAGCTGCTCTGACAGCCAGAACTTGGAGGCAGAGAGCAAGGCCGGGAGACAAGTGTTGACCAGCATAGGGCAGCTAAGGGAGTTCTGGTGGCAGTGGGGACTCACAGCAGCTGGTGGTGGGAGGACTGCTTCTTCCTAGAGGTGCTTAGGATGGAGCCTGAAACTAAAGAGTCCCCAAAGGGGAGGATATTCCCAGATCCAGATATGGGGTGTTCATCTCTTTTAGGGATCATCTCATATGTACTTCCAGGTTCCCACCTCTTCCTTCGAAACTCAGCAGGGCTGGGACTCAGAAAACCCTCAAGCCAAAGGGCAACACTGAGGGGACAGAAATATCCACAGAGGGGCAGATTTGTTCAAGATCTCAGGCCTCCCCGCCACGCACATCTGGGGAGTCAGTTCTCAGGGGAGGAGCGTCCACACCCTCCAAACTGGCCCAGAAAGATTGGCACAAGGTCAGAGACTCAGATATGCAGAGAGCTGGGATACTGGGGACACAAATCTTTGAGAGTCTCTTCATGGGAGGCATGAAGGGCCATTTCCCCCTTTCCAGGGTAGAATGACCCACTCCTGGAAGTTTTCATGTTAACTCCTAAGGGAGTGCCAAACAGCCTGAGCAGCCGCCAGAAGGCGGGGGTAAGACCTCTGGACTTCTTGAAGTTGATTTGAGCCAAGAACAGCTGCCTCTCCCTGGGCCCTTCTTCCCCTTGATTCCAGCTGTGATGGTCCTGGAAAGTGAGGCACTGGCTCAGCCCCTGACCCCCAGGGTTTGCTGAATCTCCCTGGCTAGGTAGCTAAGAAGTGTCTGAACTGGAATTAGCTTTGGCAGCCCTACGGCACGTGGAGGGAAGGGCAGGTGTGGGATCAGGAGGAAGCTCCTTCCCAGGAGGCCTGCAGCCTGAAGTGGGTGTTCTTCTGGTGCCTCCCAGGTCCCCTTCTTAAATTTGTTTTTCAGACCCCTCTCTGCTGGCCTAACAAATGCTGCTGCTCTCCCAGGCCAAGCCCTCTTCTGAGGGAACAACCCAGGTGCACCTCCCCATGACCTATTTTCCTCTAGGTCCTTCAGATCCCAGACACATGCTCAGTGGAAGAGGGAGGTTGAGTGAGAAAGTAGGTGGGTGGGGATTGGGGAGGAGACTGAGGAATTGGGTGGCCAGGCCAGAATTCCAGGGTGATACCAAGCCATCCCCTCCCTGCCCATCCCCCCAGCACAGCAGGGAGCTGAGCCTGTCCTTGGCAATTTTGAATGGGATTCTTGTGTCCAGCAGCAGACAGCCCTCACCTTCTACTCTGAGTAAGCGGAGCCCATCTGAGCTCCTGGCTTCCCACCAGCTACCTCTTCTAGATGAGGTGAGCACCCTAAGTGGGCTTAGCTGGGGAGGTGGTGTCTGCAACATCCGTTGCCTGGGCCCCCAAGGAAGGAGGGGATCACATGGTGTTTCTTACCTGGAGAGCAGAATGATACTAAGACAGGAGGAGCTGGAGGGTGTGATCACAGACACAGGTGTGTGAAGGTGGCAGGGGGCTGTAGGACCATGGCCACTGCTCTCCTAGGAGCCAAGTATCAAAGGGAGAGAAGCAGGAAAAGTGGGTTGTGGCCACACCACAGAGGGCTTGCTGCCTGGGTGAGGAGTTTACACTTGCATGGCAGGTGTTTGATGCCTACGGAGCAGCAGGAAGATTCCTCTGGCTTCTGGGTATAGGATGTGGCTGGGAAGCTATGGCGGTATTTAGACGTAGGTTCTGGATTTGCGATGTTGGAAAGGAGGCTGCAGGGATCAACGTGAGGGTTTCATCTTGGCAGCACGTTAGAATCTCCTGGGGAAACCGATGGTCAGCAGTCCTCTGGTGGTCCTAACGTGCAGCAGGCTTGGGAACCCCTGGTCTAAATTCCAGTAGATTCTACCCCTTGCTGTCTAAAGGATGATCCAAGGACTGGCAGAAAGTCAGCATTGCCTGGAGCTTGTTAGAAATGCAGAATCTCAATCCCCACCCAGACTGGCACCAGAAACTGCATTAAACGAACACCCAGGTGATTCTTAGACACAGGAAAAGTTTGAAAAGCCCTGGCCCAGAACCTTCTAATACCTCCACTCAAGTTAACCGGTGATTCATGGCCCCCACCAGACAAGCCCATCTCTAATAATGACTACCACGTGCTGAATGCCTACTCATCCCCCAGACTGTGCCGACAATTCTTCATGCTTTTGTCTCACAAAGCTTTATTTTAATTTACGTCTTAATTTCAGACTTAACAGGAAAGTTGCAAGAGTAGTACAGAATTTCCATACTCCGTTCCCCAATGCTAACATTTTATCATTTAACATTATCATTTCTCTCACCCCCATTCTCTCTTCTGTATCTCTATGGATATGAAACTTTGAAAATTGCAAACGTGATACACTTTTATCTCTAAATACTTCAAATGTGTATTTCTGGCAGGGCAAGGTGGCTCATAGCTGTAATCCCAGCACTTTGGGAGTTCTAGGCCAGAGGATTGCTTGAGGCCAGGACATTCTCTTATATAACCATGACACAGTTATCAACATCAGGAAGTTAATATTGGTATACTACCACTGTTATCTCACCTTCAGAACTTACTCATTTTTTCCCAGTCATTTCAATAATGATGTTTATAGCCCTCAAAAATTATTTCCTAGTCCAGGATCAAATGTAGCTGCACACTGCGTGTAGTTGTCATGTCTCTTTAGTGCCCTTGAATCTGAAGAATTCCCTAGCCTGTCTTTGTTTTCCTGGCCCTGACATTTTGGAAGCGATTTGAGTTATTTTGTAGAATGTCCCTCAATTTGGGTGAATCCGATGTCTCCTCATGATTAGACTCAGGTTATGTGTTTGTGGAGGGTGTCCTCAGCACATCACACCCCAAGGCACGGGATGCCGACTCGTTCCATGACTGATGATGCTCACTTTCGTCACCTGGTCGAAGTGCTGTCTGCCAGGTGGCTCCACTCACTGCAGAGTATCTATTATCCCCCTGTCCTGAGTCTGGTGGAGAGACACTATGGTCTCCTGCTTCTCATCAGACGATCACTCATTACATTTAGCATCCACTGATGATTTTGCCTCAGTTGGTTATCCCTGTGATGGTTACCAAAGGTGATTTTCTAATTTTATCCTTCTACACTTATTAGCTGGCACTCAACCCTAAAGAAAGCCTTCCCCTCTTTATTTATTGGTTGATTTACATCATTGTGGACTCAGAGATTCTTTTTTTTTTTTTTCTTAAGAGACAGAGTCTCACTTCATACCCTTGGTAGAGTGTTGTGGCTCACAGCAACCTCCAACTCCTAGGCTTAGGCGATTCTCTTGCCTCAGCCTCCCGAGTAGCTGGGACTAGAGGCGCCTGCCACAACGCCCAGCTATTTTTTTGTTGCAGTTTGGCGGGAGCTGGGTTTGAAACCGCCACCCTCGTTATTTGAGGCTGGTGCCCTCCCCACTGAGCCACAGGCGCCGCCCATCTCAGAGATTCTTATTGTATTCAATGAGTTACACTCAGTTACTATCAGTCTTTATGTTGATGCTCACATTGTTTTAGATTTGCCCATGGGGGCTACTTCAAAGGAGCTCCTGTCTTCTTGGGACATGTCCCCATCATAATTGAAGTCCTTTATTTTCTGGCACAACAAGATGTTCCAGGCTCATCTTGTCATTTCCCTGTGCCAGCCATGGGGATCAGCCTTTTCTTCCTGGAGCCCTGGCTCCTTTCAGTGCCACTGGATATTCAGAAACCAGGGTCTGATTGTTAGGTGTGCTCCTTGCTACTGGGATGTCTTTACTCCTTGGACCTCACAGTGGTCAGAGCAAAGGAAAAAAGTGTGGTAAATCTCCTTCTTCTTCTCCTCCTCCTCCTTCTCCTTGTTATTTTTGAGACAGAGTCTCACTCTGTACCCAGGCTAGAGTGCTGTGGCATCATAACTCACAGCAACCTCAATCTCTTGGGCTCAGGTGATCCTCTCATCTCAGCCTTCCCATTAGTTGGAACTACAGGTGCCTGCCATGACACTTGGCTAGTTTTTCTAATTTTTTTTTTCAAGACAGAGTCTCACTCAGTTGCTCTGGGGTTGAGTACTGTGGTGTCATAGCTCACAGCAACCCCAAACTCTCGGGCTCAAGTGATTCTCTTGCCTCAACCTCCCAAGTAGCTGGGCCTACAGACACCCACCACAATGCCCAGCTATCTTTAGAGACTGAGTCTCTTGCTTAGGCTGGTCTCAAATCTGTGAGCTCAGGCAATCCACCTGCCTCGGCCTCCCAGAGTGCTGGGATT